CTTGGGTTTGACATCAGGCTTGACTTTCTTGTTGTTGTGGGATGCATGAGGGTTCTTCTTCTGTACCATATTGGCACTAGAACCTCCCTCAACCTTTTTGCCCCGGACGTCGTTTGCCCTCGCCTTCTCCTCAACACCCAAAGAGCCAATGAGATCAGGAACACTGAACTCTTGTCTCTTGTGCTTTAGAGAAGTGGCAAAGTCCGACCAAGAAGGTGGTAGTTTGGCAATAATGCCACCCGCCACAAACTTGTCCGGCTACTCACAGTTGTTGTTCTCAAGTTCCTTAGCCAGCATCTGAATCTCATGAGCTTGTTCTACTACAGAACGGTCATCGACCATCTTGTAGTCATAGAACTGCTCCATGACATACAGCTCACTGCCGGCGTCAGAAACTCCGAACTTGGCCTCAAGTGCATCCCACATGTCCTTCCCAGAAGGCATGTGCATGTACACGTCCACTATGTTGTCAGCGAGTACACTGATCAATGCTCCACGGAACAGGCAATCCGAAGCCTCGAACTTAGTCTCTTCCTTAGGAGAAAGAGGTGGTTCACTTCGTTTACCCCGTGAAACATAGAAGCACTGCATCGCTGTCAACCACAATAGTGCACGTGCTTTCCATCTCTTATAGTTTGAACCATCAAAAGCATGTGGTTTCAGTGCAGCAGCAAAGCCAACTACCGAAAATGACCTATCAGGTTTTTAGATTGTTGGAAAAATTGTCATTATTCGGCATATTTTAATCCAAGAAATTGAAACTATGATCATGGCATAAGCAGTGTAGGGTGATCTTAATATAACCGGTAGCATACTATGCGCATCATGAATGTCAGAAACAGGAACATACCAGTAATGCGATAACATGCTAGAGGCATCATGTAGAACAGGAATAAGAACATAGCGCACACAGTATAGCGCTAACAATGGGAACAGGAGTAGCGCTAACAGCAGTAGAAGGAGAAGATTATACCCCGAGAATGGCCCTCCGCTGGATGGTGAGGCAGAATTGCCTCCGTTGTTGTAGTCGTTCACGGCACCTCCTGGCGCACCAGCTCCGGATCCAGCTCCTGTCGGCGTCGGCGGCGGCGCACCACCTCCGCCAATAGCGGCGGCAGCAACTCCAGACATGGCGATGAGCAGTCGTGCAGGAGGCACTCCTCAAAAACCTGATCACCCGCCTACCCGGTGCAGATCTCAGGCGAAGGTGTGGTTTCGGAGGCACTGCTTCTTCCAATCTCTCGTGCGCGCAAGAGATCAGAAGCGGGAAGCGAGAGTAACTCAGGCGCGGAGAAGGAGAAACTAACACCGGGAAAGAAGCGAGGAACTCGGATCGGACTCGCGGCCTCCTTATCTATCAGGAGAAAGAACGTGGACGCGCTGTTGCGGAGGGAATCGTGGGAACGTGCAACTCAGGCGCGGAGAAGGAGAAACTAACACCGGGAAAGAAGCGAGGAACTCGGATCGGACTCGCGGCCTCCTTATCTATCAGGAGAAAGAACGTGGACGCGCTGTTGCGGAGGGAATCGTGGGAACGTGGGTTAGTGGCTGCAAAAGGATAGCGACGTGACGTGACGCACGCCGCCAGCCAAGCCACGCCCACGCCCCGGCCCAGCGCGCGCGCGCGCGTGTGGCATTCCGACCCCCACCTCAACTGGTCAACAGGGAGCCTCTAATAACTCCCTATTTAGGTTGAGATATTTCTCGCTTAAATCCAGAGGTGGTATTATTATCCTCAACATTTATTATGGGCCTTTGAGATTTAATATTATAAGTTGGGCCTAGCCCAATTATTCTAACACTCACAATCATCATGGAAGATAATGGCGATGTCGAGGAGGACGTGGTGTATGCAATGGCTGAGGTTGTGCAGAACTCAAAATCCCTGCGGCTGTTGGAATGTTCTCTGTTCAAGAGGTGTCATTTCCCTGTCAGACTTTCTGGTCTGAAGCACCTTCGTCATGTCAAGATTTCAATGCTTTAAAACGCATTAGATCTCACTGGCAGTGGCAGATGGGTTATACTGAGATTCATTCAAAGAAGTAAAGCTCAAACCATATTATATGTCTCTATGTTGTCCACAGAACTACCAAAATGTGTTATCTGTAAATCAGTACTACTGGAGGAAACTGTCTGCTTCTCTGTATCGTTGTATCGTGTGTTTGGAGTTTGGATTCTGTATCATTGTATTGTGCGTTTGGAGTTTGGATTATGTATCACTGTGTCGTGTGTTTGGAACTTGGATTCTGTATCGCTTGTTTCAGATAATGGAATGACTGTACGAACTGTGTGCTAAATTTGTGCACTTGTATTTTGGGGTGCCTATCTGGAATTTGTAGTTTTCATTTTCTAGCGGGATTTGATTTATCTCTTGTGGAATTCCTCTGTTTTTCTCTATTCTTGATGAGAAATCTCTGTTTCCAGTTTTTACTATGGAACTTTTTTCTTAGTTCATGCCTTTTTATCTTTGGTATCTACGAATGAATGTACATTTCACATACACCCTCATTTCATTCGTACTGTAAGTCGCTTGGATTTTTTTCTTAATTAAATTTATTTAAGTTTTATCAGTTTATAAAAAATATAGCATCGTTTTCAACATTAAACAAATATATTATTAAAATATATTCAATGTTACAATTAATAAAACTAGTTTGGTGTTGTGGATGTTGCTAAATTTTTTTATAAATTTAATCAAAATTAAAGAAGTTTAATTAGTGAAAAAAAAATCAAAACCATAATGGAGGGTGTAACAAACTGCTTTCAATATTATTTCGCATTGAGATAAATGTTGTTCCGAGAGGGAAGGCAGGGAGTCGGGGATATGAATCAAGTTTCTCAAGACAAGGACATGGTTGGCATTCTACTTGCCGTTGAATCCTAGTACAACAACAAAACGTCAAAACCTTACGCACATCCTCCATTTTTTTTAAAAAAAAAGACTTTCTCAAATGGATTCGTAGTCGTTAGTCGTTTTTCTTTTTAAGGACTGAGGGAGTTCAGATTTCAGAATACTCTATGGACACAATTTGTTTTTCTATTTCACACACAAACTGCATACTGCTGTTAATATTTTATAGAGGCGTATCTGTAGGTGGTCCGGGTGGTCCCAAAAAAATTGCGATCAAACCTAGTATATATCATATTTTAGAAAATAAAAAGAAAAATCGCGATTTGCACGGCGCACGCACGCACTTGGACTTGGAAACTAACTTTTCCAAGTCGCGCGCGGGGCCTCTCCTCGTTTTCCGTTTTTCGCCCTGCCGCCGCGATGCAATGCGACACGAGGAGCCCTGCACGTGCGTGACTGCCACCTTGACTCCGCATGCGCCGACCGCCGTTTTCTGCTTCCCCGTTGCGGCGCCACCAGCAGCCGCCCACCTCGGATACTAAGCGTCTCTCCATTTCCGAGTCTACTCTCCGTTCCTACATTTCCGTCCGTGAGTCCGTGACCGTGAGGCATGAAAACTGAGACCTCCTTGGACCGCAAGTCCGCGACGGCCGACGCCCCGACGGGGCGCGCACGACTTGCCGTTGCAGACTTCGGCTCGGCGCCCGGCCAGACGCGCCTCGGCGGCGATCATGACCGGCAACTCCCCTCGTCAATCGTTGTCTTAGGGAGTTAGGTAATCTTCTTTAAACTTTTATATACATATAAGCTTTTTAAGTTAAAATTTTACTTAATTATTAATTTTATATGTTTTAATTAAGATATGTTATATTTTTGATCTATTCATAAGTTATACTTGCATTGTATATACTAGCATAGTTAGATTTACTGTGTTTAGAAAAGAAATTTCAGTCGGACCACCCATATCCTAAATCCTAGATCCGCCACTGAATATTTATTTTATAGTGTGATGGAGGCTACACTGTGAGAAAATGCATATCAATTTTTTTCCAAGCTTTCAACAGAATGGGCACTGTGGCAGAAATCAGTAGCTCTTTACTTTGGCCCAACTGCTGGTGCAAATTAATCTTAACCATCAATTTCTCAATCGGATGGACACCACGTGCTTGCACTATACGGTTTGAATGCTCAATCATTCCCTCTGCTCAACTTGTGCTCCACCTCCACCCCTCCAATGGCAGCGGTGACCGAAAAATCGGTAGAATTTGTTGCATTAGGCTCGATTCCTAGGCAGAGGCAACAGCGTATCCAGAGACGACAAACTTGCAAGACGCATGAGAGAATCGAGAACCGGCGAACAAATCTACAAGGTCACACACATAAAGGCAGTTACCGGGAGGATATCTCTAGGTTGTTAGCAGAGCAACATAGAGAGAGAAATGGAGAGTGGATAAGGAGGGACTGTTAGTTATCCCACACACCAAAAAAATATAGGGGAAAGTAGGGAGATGAGTCACAATGTCCGTTGTAAAAGGTGGGGGCTATTGTCGAGCACCCATTGACTAAGCAGTAGATACGGTTAACTCTACTCACGTATGATCCTAACGTGCGAAGGTGCTATGGCTTTTTATTCATCTACCATATAGCCGTACAATGAAACATGTCCACTGCAACGAGTTTTTTTTTTTAAAAAAATGTCCACTACTACCTCCGTCCCAAAAAAAGCCGATTCCTGAGGCGGAGCTGTTGTCCCACAAAAAATCAAACTCTACTGCAATCACCGAGAAACATTAATACGATAGGATGCAGAGCAGTCTTGGCGATGGGAAGCAGAGCATTGGCATTGAATTTTCTCCATTTATTTTTTCAATTGATGGCTGTACTTGGGTACTTTGGTAAGGGCATTATAGTTAATTTTACTAGTACTTTTACTTTGACTTTGAGATTCTAGAGTTTACCTTTCTATGATTCTAGGGTTTACCTTTCTATGAGACGGAGGGAGTACAACCGAACATGTCCATGGTTATGAATCCTATGATGACGTGTTTGAAACCCTTGTGACGTCGGTTGCACCGCACCGATGAGTTAATCTGAACCGTCCATTGCCAATCGGATGAACGCCACGTGCTCGCACCGCACGGCGTCAATTGCCAACCCGATTCCCCCACTCATTTCCCTCCTCCACTCAACTCGAGCTCCACCTCCACCGCTCCAATGGCGGCGGTGGCCGGAACCCTAGCTCCACTCTTCCTCCTCCCCCTACGCCGTCGTCCTCCACTCCCCCACCCCATCTCCCTGATGCCGACGTCCCCCTCCACCCTCCGCCCCCGCCACCGCCGCCGCCTCGCCGTCGCCCTGGCGGCGAACGGCGGAGGCGGCGGCGATGGCGATGGTGGGCCCCCGGCGGAGGAGGGGGAGGAGAAGCGGCGGAAGGGCCCGTCGCTCCCGGCGCTGTCGGAGATCCGGTGGGGGGAGCTGCTGACCCCGGAGCCAGCGAACGCGGCGGCGGTGGCGCTGTCGGCCGCGCTCGCCTGGGCCGGCGCGTCGCTGCTGCTGCAGCTGGCGCTCATCTCGTTCGCCATATTCACCGCCGCCGTCAAGTACTCCTTCGTCGCCGCGCTCCTCCTCTTCGTCCTCATCGCTCTCCTGTGACTGTGATGTGAGTGGCCAAGTAAACCCCCCCCCCCTTCCCCTCCCCGATGCGGAACATAGGATTGTGATAATCTGTGAAACATGTCTGAATTTTGCATTGCAACTGAAATCCACAATAGTCTATTGTCACTATGCTGTTTCACAATATTATGGAACAAATGGAGCTTCTCGATACGCTTACATTACAAATATAGATCTGTTGAACACACTTTAATTAAGACGGAAGGTCCACAACAACAAAATACAGTTCGGTTCGTATGGGCTTAGTATAACATGTACTCTTTGAATGATAAGCATGCCTTGTAGATATACCCGGAGTTGAATTGACCAAGGTCCTTTGACGGCTAGATTGAGAAGAAGCGATTTCCGTAGGTCATTGGTTGTGTTGGTTGTTGACTATGGAGATCCAACAAAGACATGTATAGCTTTTGCTGTTCTTTCACCTGATCAACGACCATTGAGCATGAACAAATTATTAGCAAACTTATATTGCACTGAATCTTGTACTAAATCTATGTTATTGCACTAAATCTTGTATTTGCACTGACACTTCGCAAATTTCTGCTGATGAACATTGTATTGCAGTCTTATATAGAACTCCATCAACAATTATATTGTTGTTGATACAAAGTTATTCATAATTCATGAAGAACTGTGCAGCAGTTATATACGTGAAAAAAAGATAATATCAAGCTTTTTTGCTTTTCATTGCAAAACAACTGCAGCTAATTCTAGTAAAGAGCTACTTCCTCCGTTTCACAATGTAAGTCATTCTAGCATTTTCCACATTCATATTGATGTTAATGAATCTAGACATATATATCCATCTAGATTCATTAACATTAATATGAATATAGGAAATGCTAGAATGACTTACATTGTGAAACGGAGGGAGTACTTCTGTTAAATTGTGAGTGCCCGTAAATTTACAGAAATGCCCTGTTGATAATTAATCTTCAGGTCTAATTTCAGATTTGGTTATCTCCTAATTCTAGTTATAGGGCTACATTTTTTAAATTGAGGAAACATTATCATGTCTATTTTCAAATTATGAAGCGTAGTTGCATGTGTTTTCATCTTTCCAAATTATGAAGTGTAAATTGTCTATGCTATATGTTAGGTTCTGTCGCACATCAAATAGAGTGTAATTTGGATGCTATCCCCAAATGGAGAGTTTGTTTGGCTAGTTGCTTTCTTGATAAGCTGAGGATAATTTCTATTGGGCTGAAGCCTAAATATAGTGATCAAATTATGGGCACCAAGAAATTGACATATTTCAAGCAAATGTTATAAAGTTTCTGTCTAGTGTTACCTTCTCTTGAAGCATTTCATTTGCTTCTTTTAGTATGCCTTCCTGCACATAAAAAAAAAATTCTCTAGCATTACACATTCAGGATTTTAATAATGAGTTAATTGAACTTGTGATTCCTCAACTATGAACCACTTAACATTTGTCTGTCCACTATGAAACTGACTAACTTATTAATGCTTTGGGCCTTTGGCTCATCGCCTCCCTACACCCTAACACTATAATTTTCTTTCCAATATGAAAAACTTCAGCATATTATTACGTTTGGTATGGCCTTTGACGCCTGAACACCTTGATCTGTGATGTCAAATGGGTGCACTGTGCCCAAACAAAAAATATCCAAGATGTGAAGTTTTTGGGACTGATTTCGCCAATTTTAAAGTTGGTGGACAGAATTGAGCAACTAGAATAGTATGATGGGAAAAAAGGACTAATTACCTTTTAATGGTTTATTTCAAACCTCTAACTTGCAGTTTTCTCTTGTTTTTTAAATAGCCTGAAAACCAAATGTAACTACCTTCTGTTCTTATGTTTTGGCATAACTTATACTCCCTCCGTTTCACAATGTAAGACTTTCTAGCATTGCTCACATACATATAGATGTTAATGTATCTAAACACATACATATGTCTAGATTCATTAACATCTAAATGAATGTGAGCAATGCTAGAAAGTCTTACATTGTGAAACGGAGGAAGTACCTTTTTTGATGATTCATCTTGTAAACAGAGAATGTGTATGCTTAGATGAACAGAAACTTTACAGAACAAGCAATAAGACATCAGACATTGAGACTAACCTTGTTTCTAAGAAATTGAATCTCTTGTTGCATCATCTGCATCTGTTAGAAGATATTTCATATTGGTGTTCTGAATACTCTTTAAAGATCTGAAAGAATTAGAGGAAATAAATGGAGAATAGCTGTCTTACCTTTGTTGTGCGTATTTGGTAAATCCATAGTTCAAGACCTTTCTCTAGTGCATGCAATTTATCTAGTGTCATTTCCCCTGCTCCCCCTCCATATGTAGACCTGCTTTTTTTTTCATTTATGAGTCCAAAGTTTTTCTGAGGTAGTTGTCCATATTGAATAAAAGTTATGTTTCATGCTGGTTTTTTGTGCTGACCATAAGGCTTATCATGATTAGACTGAATTGATACTGTCTATATCACTCAAATCACTTCAATCCCAGTTTTCTTGATTGGGAATGGAATTAAAGCTATTAGGCAGTTCAGATGTTAATCTTTTTCTACTATTGGCTTCCTCTTGTTACTTATGTATTGAAATAGTGTCTGTTAAATTTTTTTTAATCTTCGTTGAGTGATCATACTCTGCCTGATTCTGTTGGAAACCAGTTGTTTGCATGGAAATCCCACAATCTTCTAATCCTTCTGTAGAGGGGAATTGATCATGTGCCACTTCTTTAGAGTGGTAACTGGTCATTTTTCCGTTTTATAAATAGATCGGTTTTCAGTATTTTCTTCTTCTGAGCTCTTGATTATCACGAAAATTTGACGATGATTATTAGTCGAACTTTAAACTTGTACAGTGAAAATGGCATTTCTCATATGTTAAACTTAGTCTGTTCCTCACTAATTTAGGGTAGTTTACAAGATAATCATGTGCTGAAAATGTTAGCAATCCATTTTATGGTCGAATTACACAGGCCACGTGACTCAACAGGTCCTAATGTCTCATTAGGCCACTCTTACTGTTTATCAGTGCAGAATATGTAATTAGTATCCTGTCGAGCATGAAAGTTACCTAAGACCCCTCTGTAGTAGATCTATTTCTTCCCTTAACAAGAAAATCCCTTGTTCTGCTACCTGCTATATGATGCAAAAGAGTGTGTTAGTAAATCTTTGGTATCATTTGTCAATTTAAGTATATTCATTTATCTTATGAATTGGAACAGGCAATGCTGTGTATTTTTAATGAACAGAACATTTTAATTTTTTCTTAATTATGTGTTCTCAACTTTTCATACGCTTTCAGTTTCACCTAACATAAATGGTAAGATTATTTTTTTGAATCTTTCAAGGTAAATAGGCAGACCTGTCTTTGTAGAGCTCCTGGTTCCATTTGACCACCTGCTACATTGCTCTGGTACCTTTCAACCAAGTTATGCATATTTCTTGCATTTTGTGAACAAAAGGAAAGCATTTCAGAATTGTATTCACAAATTACAAATTCTATATAAAACATGAATTTGGAAACACACCCATTAGTAGCTAATTCATGGAGTTTTCCCTGAGAGGAGAATATGATAACACCTACATCAGCATCACAAAGCACTGATAGTTCCCTGGCCTTCTTGAGGAGCCCCCCACGGCGCTTACAGAAGGTTACCTGTCTGTGGACAGGGTTCTCTATTCGTCGCATTTGCACCTTTCCTCTGACCATGTTGTTTCACTCTTCCTGCAGATAACCTTTGGCCTGGACTAGACTTGAAGCTACAGCTGTGGCACTAGTAACAAGGAGATATTGACCTTGTGTTCCTCTCAAATCGAAGTACACATGCAGGTGGATGGCCTGCTTTTATATACCAGTCCACCTTCAAGGGAATATGAGTATGACCTTTGGATAGCACTGATTGCTTTGTTGTAAGCCACTGAAAAGCATCTTGCAGGTCACTGTACATCTTTCTTCCTGCTCATGTAGATTCTTATAAATATTGTCATATCTCTATATGATATACTTGTATAATTGCTGTTCGTTTGTTATGATTAATTTAGCTGTTCCTCTAAGATCTTATGTCACATCTAATGACTTCTCCATTGTTCTTTCCCTTAAAGTTGGCTTATCTTGAGCATATAGAGCTGGCCATACATTTATTCTCCAGTTCTGTTGTATGACTTACTCTTTTACCTTGTTTATGGAATCAAGTTCCTGTACGTCTCTATGGAGAATCTATCTAGCAAGTTTGTTAGTATCAGTAAAAGTTTAGGTTTCAAGTATCAGATCACATATGGCAGAAGATGCGGTGAATGTTTGTTACATTGGATCTAGAAAAAATATCGTATTACTGTAAAATTGATTGATATGTACGTTTATTAATGAATATTGCTGAAAATTCAGTAAAATCATGTATATTTATTTGTGATAATGTATATTCCACTGCAGCATTGACATGGATTAATGTTAGTAAGCATTCTTGTATGATCGAAAGGCAAAATTGAAAACATGTTTGTATGCCACCCTTGCATCAGTATGCCTTAAATAATATATTTGTTCATTTGGTTTTCAGTTTTCATCCAGATTCAGCCAAACCAGCATCGGCACTGTTTTTTTACTCTAAAGTACTCATGGCTGAAACTTGTTGCCAGTAAGCATGTAAGTAAATGCCTAGATGTTGGCCACTCGTCTAGCATCATGTAAATGAATAATTCTTTTCAAGTTTGGAGGGGTGTAATTTGAGCCAACATTCAACTTCAGCTTTCTGAAATACTTATATAATCGAACATTTTGGAGGTCAAGAATTGTATTCCTTAAAGTGAAAAGATAACATATCCCAACTTCTTTTATTTGGGATAATTTCATCCAGCTCATTATTTGGAATAAAGTCTGAATGAATCATATTCAGTTATTCCTTAAAAAATGTAAAAGGTATTGGATTTTTGTACTGTACTGTTACAAAGGTACTCTTGTTGTCCATTGAAGATAGGCTGGTATGCAGTGCTTTAGATATTTTATATCTGCTAACAGTATTTTGTTCTCCTTTTTCAAAGACATTGATCTACCTGTGAAGGCTACTGGAATTATCTCGTGCATTCAGCTACCAGATGATTCTGTACAAGTTATGACTATTTGGTGGATAGGGAAATGGGAATGAGAATGCTTCCACTTATACCCACCTGTTGTAATGGTTATAGTGAAGTTGTTTTGTTTCATCTTCATTAGATTTGGTGGCTAAACCAATTTACTTTCTTGTTGCCTGTTCATGTCAAATATAAGAGATCATCGTCGAACACATTTTTTACTGACACTAATCACTCTTGCTTTATGGTGCATGTTGCATGGGTCTGATGTTTCTGAATGGAAGCATAAACCGAAAGCTCGAAAGTAACCTGGATTAGTTCATCCAGCTATCATACAACTAGAAGCAATGGCCAATCTTTGTCTTAGTGCGATCTAATGATAAGCTATGGATGCATCTTTACTGATGCATTACCTTTCGCATTGCTCAAAGTTAATTAGCTATGATGCAATGCCATCCATTTGTTTGCTTTTATAAAGAAAATGGGCATTACATTTTGTTAGCCTGAGGTGTTAATGTCAAGTCAAAATATTTAACTGAAATGAATGCATGGAATCGTAATCTCATGCGACGTGTCTTAAGATTTGTCTTCCACTACACATTGGAGAATATTGCGTATTGACTACGTGCTTTGTTGACCTATGGACGAAGAATGTCTGTTGTACACCTGTTCAGTTTTTGTGCCCTGATATTTTTTTTCTCTCTAGGTCCTATGCTACAGAGAATCTGGAATTTCATCCATTTATTTCTCTCTTTTGGATGGTCTCTCTTTTTGCAAAACTTGTAATAGCGAAGCTAGAATTAAGGAAAGACATTATTTCACAGCTTGGAAATGTTGGCCTCATCCTTTGCCCTATATGAAATCAGTCATTACTAAAATTTGAATTTTAGAACTTAATTCTAGAGTTGATGTTAGGACATTTTCAGCATAGCTTCTTGTTTGGTATTTGTTTTTAAATCTTAATGATATATACAAAAGTTCTACTCATAAATCATTTTTGTTCACCAATAAACCGTTTTGGCTTATAATCAGAGCTCATAGCCAATTGATTGGTACATGTAAAGTAGGAACTATAATCTCTTTGAGATGATCTCCAGCAAAATGTTTCAAATTTTCAGATCCTAAAACAGGGTCGGGTCAATGTTCTACACATGGTCGCTGTGCACTGTACCTCTATACTATTACTACCAGTCAAGCAGCTCATGGAGCTTTGGCATTGGGCAATACCAGTGAAGAAGCTACTCCTACCACACATACAGCCATGGTCATGATCAGCTTTCTCCACAATCTCCATCCTATCGCGTCAGATCAGACGTTTGTTCTCTGCTTGCTTTGTCATCTTCTCCTTGTTCTGACCTGACCTGCAGTACCATGCAACACCATCATGTTCTTCTGATCTCTCTTTCTTTCTCTCCATCTGTCTCTCTCTCTTAGCTCAGCATCAGAGCTTCAGCTGCTTGTTGAGCTAGCAGTAGCCTGCAATTATATTCCTGCCGTTTTTGGTGCAGAAAAGCAAGAGAGATGTTGATGGTGATGATGCCGGTGTGTGGCCTCCCGTTTTGGGTAGGACGCCATGGACGCAAACCTCTCAGTTCTTTGACCCTAGCAAAAAGCTACATCAACAAGGGCTAGCTTCTTTCGATTGCAGGATGAAGAGGAAGCCAAAACTTTTTGTTCTTTAATTAGATTGATATTTGGGGTACTCATTTGATATCAATAGTGGAGTTGCCAAATGGCAAGAGGCAAGAGGATCACCTGGCTAGATACTTGGAAGTGATCTTGAGCTGGGACATATTGGTCAGTCCAATGATTGGTCCCACAATCAGAGTGGTATTAGAGTGATAGCAGTGCAAGCCATGGGCTAGGCAGGCTTGGAGTGCCATGTAATCTCAAGTACTCTATGGATACAATCTTCACACTACATGTGGCCTGAGGCGGGTCTATAAATTTTTTGAGGAACAATCAAGGCTAACGTTGCGAACTCCACGATGCAGTGCCACACGCCCTCGATGGGCGCGGAGAACGCGTGCCCTATTTTGGCTCCAAGGACTTCCCCTGGCTCAGTGTTTCGTCGACGTGGCGCCAAATATATATCCGTTTTGCTGCGACCGGGCTGAATGACACGTCTGCACATTGTGAAGGCCCTTATAGGTGGGGCCTAGTTGTCGGTGGGTAAAAGATGAATTGGGTTAGCTTTTGGTATGCGTATTAGACATCTGTGTGTAAAAGCATTGCCATACATTTGGAAGGTTCTTATTTGTGGCAAAAATGTCTAATACATTTGTATTTCATATATGCAAAAGTGTATAATACACAATACATGTCACAACATTTAAATATATGTTCTAGATATTAATGAGGTAAATATGGACCAGTTATGGCCGTGGCACTTCTTAAAGAAAAAAAAAGTTAATTTTTGTACCGTTAGATCTCCATCAACGGTACCTTTGCCCTTATATAAATACACAAACCTTATTCTCCACTCTCATCTTGCACAGCCACGGCGTTGCCATGCGTCCACCAAACACCTCCTAACCTTTGTAGTTCTCATAGCCAAACCACCATTCCTTCATTGCCCATCGATGCCCTCTCACATGGCACCTTTTACGTAGTTACTGGCATCTCACATTCCACCACCTCCACCTTTCTCTTGACTAGCTTGTTGTCTTCTCCAATTCCCTTCAACCCTAGAACTGGCCCTAACTAGGGTGGGCCAATGTCATCCACCTCCTTGCAATTGCTGGCCAAAGGAGGAAGGTGGCATACATCTCAAAGTGAATCTGACACGTGGAGGTGGCATATGTGGCCCTATGAGTTAGCAGCTCACGGAGTCACATCTCAAAGATGATATGGCTAATTTGACTATTACCCGTATATGCATCTCAAAATTGATATAGCTAAATTGACTATTACCTGTTTATAAGCTGCCACTCTTTTTTGGGCTAGATTGGCACGGTGGGGGGGGGGGGTTATAATCTGATCTAACTTGCTGAAATTTGAATCTCCAAAGTTCAACAGAATGTGTGTAGTCACCTTCCCAAAACATAATGTTGAACTTTTTTTTGTGCAGTTCTTGGTGTAGAAAGGAAGAGGTGGGTGATGGTGATGATGCCTGTGTATGGCCAGCCTATTTGGGTGGGGCTCCAATCGCCATGGATGCAAAACTCAGCTGAGACCCATCAATTCTATCCTAGCAAAGCTACAACAACAAGGGTTTTGATCTTCCAGTGCAAGATGCCAACCTTTTGTTCTTTGGATTGATCATTAGGTACTACTCATATATCTGACACATCAATAGTGGAGTTGCACCAGATGGCAAGAGGCAAGGGATCACCTGGGTTGAGTTGATACTTACAAGTTGGAAGTGATCTTTACTTGGCCTAGTGGTGGATCCACACTACAACAAAAAGGTCATATATAGAGACGTCCTATTTAAGGCGTTTATCTAGTCGTCTCAGTCTCAAGAACCACTCCTGTAATAAAGACGCTTGTTGAGACGTTTTCAATGTTGTCGTAGGCCCAAAATTATTTTTCATATTTTTTGGTTAAAAATCCTAGAAAGTCCTCCACATATCACTATTCCTCCACAACGTGGCCCACCAGCCCACTAGAGCTCCCTTCCCCATATCCTTGCTTGCTTCCCCCCTTCTCCATATCTTTGGTCCTCCCCGCACCACGACTTCCCCTCAATGTCAACTCCTCTTCCCATTTGCCACCGCCACCACCCTCCATTGTCTTCGCAGTCGCTTGATCCCTAGCCTCTGTCGCGCTCCTGTCGTCCCTGCCACCCAAATGCCACAAACATAACAAGCTAGCAACCCATTTTTTGGTCGCTGACAACCAGGCTCCACCAATAGTACCCCTCTGGTGGTCGGATATGTATGTCAGTGACTAAACTAATTTTTTATTAGACTGATGCCTACACCTAGTTGTATATAGACATTAATAAAATAAATATATAGATATGTTATGGCGCACTAATGTTTTATTTTTTAAAAGAAAAGATAGTTGATTTTGTGGACCGTTAGATCTCCATCAACGGTCCAAGTTACTTTTGCCCACATATAAATACACAAACCCTATTCCCCACTCATCTTCCATAGCCGCCGCGTCGTCGCGCGCCTCCACCAACCACCTCGA